AGTAGACCTTACCTTACTTTTTGACGAAGTCCCTGCCTCTGTTTTGACATTTCTGGTATCAATATTGCAGCTTCATGATGCCCTCCGCGTAGAAGCTGGCTCTTGTTTTGGGACCGAAACCAGTCATTGACAAGCCCTCTACACTTCCGAATCAGTTGCTTTGCATAAGAAAATTTCCCTCCATCTTCCGTACTCTTACGATTCAGCCTCATGTGACTTTCGTCTGTTCACTGAGCTGAAAAACTTCCTCGGTGGAAAGCGGAATCCGAATGATTCGGAAGTACAGAGCGCTGTCAATGACGGATTCTGGTGCCAAGACAAGAGCCAGCCTCTACGCGGAAGGCATCAAGAAGCAGCAATATTGACACCAGAAATGTCAAAACAGAGGCGGAGACTACGTCAAAAAGTAAGGTAAGGTCTACTCAATAAAAACCTTCAAATTTCTTTTTGATATGATGCTCAGCGGCGAAAACCCAAGTCTGAAATAATCGACTCTCCGCGCATCCAGACTCCGAAGGTGGGCGCGCGGCGACAGGAAGTTGTCGCAGTAAAATTAAGTTTCCTCGCGAACCCCTCGACCAATTTTCAAAAAATTGAGCTTCTTTTAAAGCTTAGAGTATGCCTTACAAGAGCTTTTTTACCGATTTGATTTATCTCTTTCCGTTTGGAAGATAAGAGGTAGGGAACCACATTGGATGACCCTCGTAAATGGACATCGGACGTTTTCGCATACTTTTGAGGTTCAACCCCCTAAATGGGGGCGAAAAACCAAAAAACAGGTCAAATCCGTCTACACATAGATGCGCCTACCCTCGAAGATGACGTTAAGCCAAAAAACTCAAAATCCAAAAAAATGGACATCGGACGTTTTCGCATACCTCGATTCAATTGTTATCTCGAGTAATTGACCCTAAGGCATCCGATTTTCGCGGTCCTAAAGCCCCTCTTGGAGGGTAAACGAGGGGGGGGGGGGCAAAATTTTAGAAGTCGGGGTTTCCTTCCAAATCGAAAATTGATGTCATCCAAATCGAAAAATGCAACAAATTTAAACTTTAATGGACGCCTGGGAGTTCAAATCGACCCACTAAATGCCTAACAGTTGCCTCCTGAAGAGGGGGTTGGTGTACCCTCCACAAATTGCTCGTTGGTCACAGAACTGATATAAGTCCTGCTTTTTATCTTTGTAGTTCGGTACCAATACCTAAGTCAGAAATCGAGAAAGCCATAAGTATTTGAAAACAGAATTTCATACTATAAAAGGTAGATTATATTGGATAAATGCTGCCTGAGTCAACGATCCCTTTCAGGTAATTTCAGATGACCGCTATTTGGTTCAATGCGAGTTAGAGGGTACTCCAAAAGACAGCTGATGGTAGACATTTGTTAGGAGACTCTAGACATGTCTTGGAGTGATTTAAAACATGAAAAAAATTTGGTGCTAATTTGTCCAAGGTTAGTCTCTTTTTCAGCTACATTTACTGGACTAAACACAGGACTAACCTAACCTCTGACTAGATAGCGACAACTATTATGGCAGCATGGAACTAGTTATTAGATAAGCGTAACTTTCGCCAACATTTTTCCATTTATGACATGTCGAATCAAATTTTGATGGTGGTAACAGATGGTATGGTTCAACCATGTTTTGGAGGACCTTGGAAACAGGAGGTTTAATTTTACAATTATTTCCTCATACCAAAATTGAGGAAATCAATTACTGGCAGGCCAATTAGTCCTAAGGTCAACTGACTCATCAATCCTAATTATAACCACATCCAGACGATTTTAGATTCCTTTTGGTCCTAATTAGACGAGTACGGTAGAAGAGTTCTATAAGTCCATCCTACACCCTGCCCTTGATTATCCAAGTCGAACAAGTATCAATAGAGCTCTAATTAATCTCCAGATAAAATTTTACGTTTTTGGTTCCCAAATCCTCCATATATGCTTCATCACAGGGGGAAAAACTAAGACTTCACATTGTAAGACATAAGTAAGAACTTGATTTATAGGAGGTGTTCACCAGAGCTCCTCAGTTGGTAATGTGTTAAAAGATAAGAACATATTAAATCAATAAATACCTTAAGTTGCTCAAATTCCGATGATTGTGCTATCATGGCTAAGATCTGTGCTTCATCCATAACATCTCTCATCAGGTCATTAAATATTTCTACTGAATCACACTTGATGTAAAAGTGGCTTGCAATACGCCCGTGGTCTAGAAATAATTAAGACAAAGATTCAATTTTCTTTCCAAGCTGCCAGATCAAATAAAATATAGTTTTCTTTTCGTAGGTAACTTGTCAAAGAAAAAAGATGAGAAGAAGAATGGGTCTGTGCATGCAGGAGATACAGCAAAGTGAATAGACTTGCTATGCTTAAAATCGTTCAAAAATCTTGTTGATCACATCAAGCAAGTCTGAAATGTATCCCTTAATGCGCAACCTGCGTAGTTTGTAAATAAGTTAACGCATTTTGTGCGTTTATTAAATGAATTAAATATAGGAGGAAAAGTTTTGCCTTTACACACTTGTTTTTCATTGTTTTAGTGGATGTACATTTAAGACATCAAGTTCATCCTCAGCATTAAATCACAAAATTACACGGTGAGCACCAGTAGTTGATGAAATATCATGATACATTGCAATTAAAACAAGAACAATCCAACAAATGAAAAGGTTAAAAGCAAAAATAAGTGTAGTTATTAAATAGAAATAGCTAATCAAGTTATAATCAGTTATTATCAAAACATCACAACGAGGTCTGATCACCTGAACTGATTATACAAATTCAACCAGTAGATGGCAGCACTCAAAAGGGAAAATTAAATTTATAGTTGTTGCCATATTAATTCAGTTTTGAGCATAAATCAGCTAAAGGAGAGGCACTGTTCATAATGCCCACTTCCATGTTTAGAAAAGTTTCCCCTACAGTGGAAGCCCGTCTAATATCAATATTATGTATGACCCTTGGAGTATCATTATCAGTGCTTTGGTGCGAGATTTTTGAATTATTTACACACTAGAAATTGTGTGACCTTCATTTTTACAATGCTGAAATGCATTAGAATTAATATGTTTTTTATATTCATTTAACTTTTTCCTAAAATTCCTAGCAGAGCATCCTATACAGGGTGGTCCAGACCTACCAGGCCTTTCCTCGAAGAAACAGTGGTTTCTGAATTCTGGAAGGTGGTTTGTTGAAGAGGGAATCAACCTCAAGGAATTCGAACTTCATGTTTCCGGGAGATTCCCACCACCCTTTTAGACGGTACTTTGGAGGGTTCACCCCCATACCTAGAAACCCGGAGAAAATGTGGTCAGATAAGTTCAAAAATAAAATAAACGCAAATTTTCTTAATAAATCATTCAAATTCCTCTGAAAGCTCAATTTTGAGCTGAATTAAAGCCCCTCAAAAAGAGATAGATTACTATGCTTAAGCTCCCCGCACATAATGCTAGTTTTCTTCAAAATTAACGAAAAAATTGCAATCTTGGGTAATTTTTCACGAGAAACACAAATTATTAGGTTTTAGCGCTCTAAAGAGATTCAACAGAGCGACGACGCGAGGGAGCCCGGGCCTCATTTATCCCCTTCGCGCCAAACCCTAATTTCCTTAATATTATCGGAGAACATCCGGAAAAATTTCACAACTAGGGTAATTTTCCATGAAAAACACAAATTTCTAGGTATTAAAATACTGCAACAGCTCCTTGGGGCCATGCGAGGAGGGGGCGCAGGCCCCGACAGTCCCCTAAATCCTAGTTCTCTTCAGGATTAAGGGAAAACGTCCGGAAAAATCGTATATTGGGGTAACATCCCATGAAAAACTCAAATTTCTAGGTATTTGAGTCCTACAACAGCTCCCTAGGGTCACGCAGGGATGGAGTGTGGGCCCCATTTGTCTACCTCGCGGAATACGCCAGTTTTCTTCAAAATCATTGGAAAACACGCAAAAAAATTGAAATCACAATTATTACACCATAAACACCTGAAAAATTAAAAAGGTTATCACTTAAAGGTTGATTTCGCTTCTATGGCTGGATAAAATCTAGATTATTGTTCATTCTGAAACCCAGCTTAATACTATGCTTTCTAAAAATGTTACCTAACCATATTACTCAAACTATTAGAATATGTTAAAACTCTGTACCTTACTTTTTCTCTCTTGGAGGTTTCATTATTATTTTCCCAAGATCGGTTCCTAAAGACTCCGTATGAGCCTATTAATTTCCGCTAAAGAATAACCATTATGCAAAGCGATTTGCCTAATGATGTTAATTTCGTGGTCAAAATTAGAAACTGACATTAGGATGTTGCGTACTCTGATCAGCATAGAATGAAATAAAGCATATTTATGTGCTTTAGGGTGGTTTGAATCGTTGAGGATTGTCAGATCCATTGTTGTGGATTTCAGGTAAATGTTAAATTCAAATTTATTCCTACTGATACCAATTTTCAAGTCTAAAAAATGTATTAATTTCTTGCTGTTTTCAACACTAAACTTAATTTCTGGTAGACAACTGTTTAGATAATTAAGTAAGTTATAAATATCATCATCTATTAAATCAGTCCAGTTCAATGTGTCATCAACAAACTGACCATAAAAAGTAGTTTGAAACAGGCATTTTCAAACTTATCATGTCTGCAGACAGTTTGCCATAGGAGCCGACAGTCAAGTTTGCCCAAAGAACTCAATGAAACCAAACCCTCGGGTGTTTCAAAAAATCGAATGTCTAAAATATTGACGGGACCCTCCCTAAATCGGTTCTAAACGGTAAAAAATTAAATCCTGAGAAATTTCAGGCTGATTCGAAGATATCTAGAGATCGCGCCAGCTTCAGCGTGGATTCGACAATTAACTATTATTATGATTATTTTATAATCATCGAATGTAGGAGAGAAGCACAGGATTTTGCTAGGGACTGTAGATCCAAACTCCTTGTATTAAGTAATTATTTCTCACTTTTCTCCTTTATCAAAACCAGGAGTGTCCTATCTATGCAAGCCCGCAAGAGAAAGAGTGAGAAAAATCAAAATGAGCCGAAGAGAGAGAGAAAGCCAGAATTGCGGAACGATAAGGAAACTCTCCTTGTCGATGCTCTCAGTGCTCGATGCTCTGGACGCAATCGTTGCGAAACGCAGGTTTTTTGGAAAAATTTTGGAGAGGTAGATCACAAAAAGTAGTATTACGTCGGTTTTATTTCAATTCTGTAAGTTTAACAAAACTGGAGATACGCCCGTTTCCATGAAGGCCAATTTTATCGAAGTGCAGCTGAAAACCTGAACTCTGCAAGGCCACTACGGATACCAGGGGGGTCAAAAAATTTGAAAAATGGTTTTTGTGCTTCTATTGGACAGATTAACAAATAACCAAATTATAAAAAAAAATCACTGTCGGTCAAGCAACAGTGCCTGGACGATTTCGCGTGGAATGACCCATTAGCGAATTTAGTTTGAAAACTCATATGAATCGTAAACCTTAGTTGTCGGCATTCCTACGTACTTCCTGCAGATTTAAACTCGTCATCCTACGTATTTTTTCACGAGAAATCTAATTTGATGTCAAAATTTTGATTTATTGAAGGCTTGTTTTGATAAATCAAAATTACTTGAGTTATACGCAAAAACTCTCTTTTTTGGACAAAGTCTCGCAGAAAGCTATATTTAAAATCCATACATCAATTTTTCGACTAAAAAAATCGATTGATTACCCTTGAAAACATGTGTGGTATGCGTCAGTTGAGTCTTTTTAATCATCTATAAATTATCTTGGAAAAAAAAACGCGGTAAAAACGAAAATTTGAGATTTTGACAATTTGAGCCCCATGTTTTCAATGAAAGCTTTGTCCTACAGAACCAAGATTTTTTCCTTGTCCATTTAATGCCAAAAGGCAACTTCTTTTCACTACCCGTCATCGAATTTAGAAACAAATATTTTTTGCTCCACCCTCGACTTATGGGCCATAAAGCGCGGTCACTGCGACGCCGAGAATCTCGACATTCTGGCAACCATCTAGTGCTAAACAGAAAAATAGTCAGTGTTCGCTCTTTGAGGGTAAGTGCTTTGTGTTTAAGGTGTATGTGAGCACTAGATTACTTATGCATTGAAACCATTGCCTGTATAACACTAATTGATAGAATTTGATTCAATTAATGCTAAATATTACCAAATTTTTCTCCGAAATCGAATAAAAAATCGATATATCGATTAAATAAAACGATATATTTTGTTAAAAACCTGTAAAATCGATTCCTTGTGAAAAAATACGTTGGTAGACATATGCTTAATGATGAAACTGCGTGTTGGGGGCACCTCTGACGACCCGAACAAGAAAAGACCTGATTTTTTCTGCAATTTTACGATGCAAATATTTGGAGGGATTGAGCACTATTTTCCTCTTGGAATTACGGCTGCGGAAGATTTTTTCCGTACTCTGCATGCAATTTGGCCACTTTTTTTCACTATTAGGATTGTTCAGCACTTACGTTGGGAATTTTGCGCACCCCTACGCCGCACGGTGGGCCAGAGTGTGTCCGTAGCGGCGCTTAATTGATAACTCCCGCTAGATCAGACTTATCGTTCAAAACATAATGATTCCTAGGGTAATTTGATCTGTTCTTTCCAAATCTTGTGTCAAAAAAACCGGCAAAAATGTTTAAATGTAGGTTTTGGACGTCGAAAGCTGGAGAAATTGCTCGTTAAAAAAAAGGATCTCGTGCTCTTATAAAATGGGGGAAAAACACAATCATCGAACAGAAAAATGTAATATTAGCATCTAACCTTGTAATTCTGTTGAAAGGAAAATATTTTCGCTTTTTCAGATCCCAAAAATATTGATTTTTAGCTGCAGGGCATGAGATCAAAGTTGCCCGAAAAATAAGCCTTAAAAAATGAATTTTTCAGAATATTGTAGACTGGGAGAGGGTCATTGCGGTTCGTTGCGCGGTTCTCTTTGGTATTTTTAGAAAGCATATATCCTAGAGATACCATATACTAAAGCACAAACGGTACAAACCGGTACAACCATATTTTTCGGATGCTTCTTTGAGGTGACCTCCAATTTCCGCGAAAATCAGATAAAGAGGTTTTAAGGAACCACGGTGCACAGTAAAGCGGCCAATGAAATATTTCAATACAAATTCATGTTTTAAGGGTTTTTCAGGTTTCTAATAGCATTTCTCGCTCTTTCGATACTTTACGGAGGAAGGAGGGGGAGGGGGAGGCCGACCAAAATCAGACAGTCAAAAATGTGTTACGGTCATTCATTTTCTTGAGCCTAGTAAATAATAATAATTTTTTTACATCCGTTCACGCATTCAGCCCAAATAGGACTGGTTTTAAACCAAATTGGCAATGAATATGAAAATTCTATCATCACATGGCACCTAAGTTTAGAGTGAGTTGACCGTCGCTGACACCAATATAACTGATGAAATTTCAATTTCACTGTTGGACTTAAAGTAATGTAATATCGTATGATTGAAGTCTAGAGAAATGCTATTAGAAACCTTAAAAACCCTTAAAACATGAATTTGTATTGAAATATTTCATTGGCCGCTTTACTGTGCACCGTGGTTCCTTAAAACCTCTTTATCTGATTTTCGCGGAAATTGGAGGTCACCTCAAAGAAGCATCCGAAAAATATGGTTGTACCGGTTTGTACCGTTTGTGCTTTCGTATATGGTATCTCTAGGATATATGCTTTCTAAAAATACCAAAGAGAACCGCGCAACGAACCGCAATGACCCTCTCCCAGTCTACAATATTCTGAAAAATTCATTTTTTAAGGCTTATTTTTCGGGCAACTTTGATGTCATGCCCTGCAGCTAAAAATCAATATTTTTGGGATCTGCAAAAGCGAAAATACTCGTCATGCAATGGAGTTTACCAGTCAGATGCATATAATGGTGTGAGGTTCACAAGTGCACTGTGAAATAAGTGAGTATACGACGCGCGCCTCAGGTTACAGAAATCTGGGTTCATCACATTCCACATGCTGCATATCTATCTACGTGAAAACCGCAGATATAATGATTATTTTAGATATTCCCATGTAATTTCGTTATCAGTAGGTATCTGAGCATCGATTAAGATGGCTTTGCTGAGGAAAAAAAAATGTCGAAAAATTGCATTTCGCGCCGTTACGGACACGATCTGGCCCACAGTGCGCCGTAGTGGTCTCAATAGTTAGAAGATTCAATCCTTCAAGAAGAAAACAGCAACTCAATGCAGACTAAAAGGAATTTTTACGAGTGATATAAAATGTGATTCAGGTAATTTTCAACAGAGACATGTGTAAATATTACAAGTATTACATAAAAAAAGTATTAATTGCCATCTGTGTCCCAGGAATTTTTTTTAGCACATAAAAGGGGCCAATCAAAAAATAACTAAAAATAGCTACCTTCAAGGGAGGCGCGTATCTGGCGCAACCTCTAAATATTCTTCGATTTCATCGAAATTTTACAAGGACCGTTTTTTTCCCTATTCGAATCAAATGAGAGGGGGTCCCGTTGAAGTTTCAAATAAAATTGAAAAATCCTCACTTTTGAAACACCCTAACAAACCCGAATAAACAAACAATTTCGCAAACTTTTCCTTTTACGTGATTTTATTCGTGATCTGGTATTTCTTTCCCTCTTCTTTCTTTGTTTTGCAAAAGGGAAGCTTTAAATTGATCGAAATTTTACATAAGGAAAGTTTTTCAACAGATCGCCAGACTATTTCTTCGAAGTAGGATGATCGGCGGAAAAGACGTGTTGTGATCGGCTCCGTGTTTTTCTAACCTAAACCAAGTTTATACGTTGTTGCGAGACCTGATTTTAGTATCAATGGTTTCAGTTCGGAATGTAGTTTACTACTGTGAACTTTTGAACCTGTTATAAGTCCCCAGGGACTCGAAAACAGTAGTTTTTCAGTGACAGTGTAGTGGGTTTAGTGTTGTGCAATCACTCAACATTGCCAGCTCTGCCCACTCACTCGTCGATTTTTTCCGGTTCGCGCATGCGCATTAAACAGCAAATCCGGCAACATCGAAACTGATTAGCTCAAAATTATCAGATCAGAAGGAAAGATGAGTAAGAAAGAGGACGATAACGCCGAATCTCTCTTAAACCTCTCCTCGCAGGAGCTGAACGAGGAAAAAGAGAGATTAGGAAAGAAGCTTGACGGCATGGAGATGAAGATGAAAGAATGGAATGAGCATGTCAACAAATCCCCCCCTCCCGCCACCGCCAAGAAGAAAGATGAATACGAACAATTCCTGCATGAAATGAAAGTTGTGGAAACAGCACGGATAGAAATCGAGAAGGAATTAAACAGGAGAAAACAGGCAACAGAAAGTGATGAAGAGAAATGGAAAGCCAAAGAAGAAAAAGTAGAAGCAACCCTTAAGGAACACTTGGACACCCTGGACATTATTAGGAACATGATTTACGATTTGGATAGTGACAGCGGAAATAAGGAGATCAAAATCGGAAGGAAAACCTACAGCAAAGGAAATGACACACGGAAGAATTTAATGAACACACTGGCATACAAAAAGGAGCAAATCAAACTTGCAAAAGCGGAACTGGACAGGATAAGGAAGAAAACGGAAACCAAAGGACATGAGGAACAAATTAGCAAAATCTTAGGCACAGAAGAAACGGAAATGGAAGTGGAGATCATCAATGAACTCAAGAGAAGAAGAAAAGAAGCCCTTGACACATCAATGGAGGATATGGATGACGATGACTTGGTTTTTCTGAGGAAATCTCAAGGTCTGAAGAGAGTGAGAACAGCGACGTCTAAAGGAGCGGGAATTGGAAAAGAATCAGTTTCTAGAGGAAGCTCACCAACTGTGAAGCAAGCTTACAGGAGCAGGTGTAACTCACTGCCGACAAGGAACAGTGGCCTCAAGAAAAGAGGCGAAAAAGAAACCGATGGAACTACCACAGAAACTCAGAAAAACATGGAACTAAAGGACCTGTTGAATGCCCTTTTGACTCAAATCAAAGAGCAAATGACCACAATGAAGAAAATAAAGGAAGATAATGAAAAGAACCACCAGAAACTTCGAGAGGAGAATGCGAAAACTATGGAAACCTTCCTCCAACAATTGAAAGAATTGAAGGAAAACCCAAAAAATCTAACAGAAATAGGAAAATTAGAGAAGGAGCTCCGAGATAGTAAAGAAGAGCTAAAGAAAATGAAAACAGAGAACGAAAAATTGACAAAAACAACTAAGGAGATGAAAGAGGAATTAAAAAAGCTTAAGGACAACCTCGACAAAAACGGAAAATCGCAGAAAGAAGAGAATAAGAAAACTCAGGAAAAACTGGATAAAATCGGCAAAACTATGATAACGGAAAAAACGGTGGAAAAAGTGCTTAAAGAAACAAAGAGCAAACTTGAGATGAAGGAAACAAGGAACAAGGGTGAAAAACAGTTTAAAGAAAATATAATCAACAGGAATGACAACATGACTAAAGTAAAGGCAACCTTGGAGGGAAAAACCGGAGAAGAAACAAAGAAAAAAGTCAACAGTGTGCTAGAAAAATATCCAGAATCGACTATAACTGCAAAAACGTTTTTGCAAGCAGTTATTCTAAATGGCCCGACTGAAGAGATAAGGAAAGTGGAAGAGGAACTAAAGCAAGAGGAAATGAAAATACAGCCTGTCAGACCAACAGGAACTGTTTTCCGGATAAATTATGTAGATGAGGACATATCAACCGAACGTATCCCCTATCATATATACATCAAGAACATGAAAGGTATTGCGGGATGGACTGAAGAAAGAGTTAGAGAGTCTATTACTGTTTTTGCAGACAGAAAACGAACTTGGACCCGAAATGAAAGAGAAGATGTAACGAGATGGATCCTGATCAGGGCAACAAACGGACTGGGAAGATTTCTGACTACTAAATCAAAGATTTTTATAGGATTCAGTAACTGCCCCATCTTCCCTACAGCGGTGGTTACCCCCTGTGGGAAATGCGGATCGGTGTATCACAGCACCAAATCATGCGAAGAGAAGGAAATGTGCTGGTCGTGCGGCAGTACAGAACATAAAAACAAGGACTGTAAGGACAGGAAAATGAAGAACTGTGAGCGAGAAGGAAAGAAGGAAACAAATCATCACATGTTCGACGAAGGAAAATGCATTATATACAGGAAGGCAATGGAGAGGGCAAGAAGGCTGGCAGGCATGTTTGAAAAACCCGAGGAAGAATTAAGCACTTCAAAGGAGGGCAGTTTCCAGTATCAACGTATCATCACAGGCATGGAGACTGATGACACATCATATTCATGCTAGGAAACAACAACAATTGTAGACGAGAAGACTCCATTTTCTCATCGAATCGTTTCAAAATCTTAAACACAGACGCTACTAACAGAATACAGAATGATGAACTTATTTGTCAACACACGAGACCCATTTCTAAATGTATGATTTGTTTCGATAGTAGAATTTATGAAGATTTAAATAGTATCTGGTGCATGCATAATCTTAAGGTGAAAAAATGCAAAAAATGCAAAGACGCCTATCTACCGCCATTAGTATTGCCAGGTGGAAGATTGATAAGACCTTTATTGACACCTCACATTTGGTCAAATATCAGCAATAATATAGGTGACGCTGATAATATTAGAACTCTTTATAACAGTAAACACGACTCGGATCAAAGTGACGGAGACGACACGTTCCTAACAGCGTGAGATAAATTAATAAATAAAAAAGTAGATATAAGGGAAATACTGGTCTCCCACGCTCCCCCAAATAACACTTTGAACTTAACACGCTTTCAATCTGAAAATGCTGATTCAGAAAAAATATTCAAGCATAACAATAATGGAAATGATATCGGACTTTCTCTTCTACTTGGCAATGTAAATACGAATCCTTTCTCACAAGAATTGCTTAAAGATATTGTAAATAAACGCAAACTAGGAGGTTGCATCACAGAGCCAAATGTACATAAGGCAAATTATGATAATTTTAACTCTAGTATAGATCAATGGGTAACTGCCAGTACAAATAGAAGTCTTATGGTAGGGCGGATAAGCATAACAATCGAGCATTTCTGGAAGAAAGCATGAAACTTTCAGGATATCATCTTTATCTATAGAAGGTTCAATTTCGCAAGTGAGCTCAAAATTCTGAGGCCATGGGGGCCGGGGGGGCAGGGGGCCCTGATTTCGCTATGTTTTGCCGAATTTTCGCGTTGGATCATCGTGAGAACGCCGTTAACAATGTAAAATGTAATCAAAACTTGTGTAAACGTCATTAGTAGGTTCTCTCAAACAGTATCCCAAAATGCTATCACTGTCCAATCCCGGAACACCCCTCAAAATGCCTAAAATTCAAAATGGCGCCCATAATAAGGCCTCCGGAATATCGGAATTTTCACTTGTGCATATCCTGTCATGTGAGGTATCATTTTCCATGTAATTTTGGTCGCAGATTTCATATTTGAAGTCAAAACAACCCCCCCGGTCAAAATTGGTGCCCCCAATCCAAGATGGCGTCCAAATTTGAAAGGCAGGAGGGTGCATTTTTTAAACTTTTACGCGATAAGGCAAGTGATATGTCGTTCCCTATGTAATTTTGGTCGTAGATTTCATTACTGAAGTCAAAAGAGTCCTCCGGTCAAAATTGGTGCCTCAAATCCAAGATGGTGGCCAAACTTTAAAGGCAGGAGGGTGCGTTTTTTCAAATTTTTACGTGATAAGGCAAGTGATATGTCGTTTCCTATGTAATTTTGGTCGTACATTTCATTATTGAAGTCAAAAAAGCCCCCCGGTCAAAATTGGTGCCCGAAGTCTAAGATGTCGGCCAAATTTGAAAGGCAGGAGTGTGAATTTTTATGAGAAAAAAAATCACGTGAGATGACAAGTGAGGTATCAGTTTATACGCATTTTTAGTCAACAAAACGAATCTAAATGAAATGTAAAAAAAAATCTTTTACACAAAAATGAAACGAGATAATCAGGATGATTGCCATCATGGCTGACAAGTGAAAAATGATGAGCCACTAATAAGGAGGTGTCTTGCTGATTACTGCACAAAAACTCTGAACTCAATTTCAGATGCCCTAGACTCAGAGGATGAACAATTAATAAGTACCGAAAATAATTTAGAAAACTCTCAGTCGGTTTCAGTTGGTGGGTCTCTACTCAATCGAGTGCGATCGAAGCATAGGCATACTTACGAATCCATTGCACAAACCTATGTTCCATCAAATTGATGAGCAGACACCAATGTTTCTTTGCGTTTTCAAAGTGATGTTAAACGCGCAAAATCCGAGATGATCGCTGTTCTCGCATGCGTTTACTGGTTGCGATTCAACCCCTCACATCCATAAAATAGGAATAGCAACTTTATTCTGTACGCTTCGCTTTTATCTGATCCTTACCTGCAAGAATCTAAAGAAAGGTTCTTGGAACCTAATCAAAACCATGAACGGATATAAAGAGCTGGAAAAGAGTAAATCGATGGTGAAACTGCTTAAATACTATTTCGGTTTGCGGTGTTGCAGACTTCTTGTCATACTTCCGTTCCTTCATTAAAAAATACTGGAGTCATTTCTTGAAAACTTTGCTTGTTTTCACTCTCTATGTGAGGAATATTCTGTAAAAATTTCATGATGTTGGTTTGGTCCCCTTTCAAAAAATAAAATGGGAGCGAATATTTTGAAATCCTGCAATCAAGATACGCACGTTTGCTGTTTCACCGTCGAAATATTACTCCTCAATGGTAGCCAAAAAAATGTGACTTTCGAAGACCTCCGTCATCATATATCGAAGGAAAAATTTCCAGCTTTCAAAGTCTTCATTCAATTAGAGAAAGTACCCTCGATATCATCAGCAATGAAGTAGGTAACATTAATTTAGGAGCTACTTTTATACTCAACTGTGGATGGGATGAAGTGATCTGGATGCCTGTCTTTGGGGATGGATGAATAAAAACAAGGAGCTTCATCCTATTTTAAGTGACTTGCCTCCAGCTCCCGGAATCCCCGCTTAAAATTATCCGGTGTAATGGACCACTAGACAAGGTACGCATTTAAGCAATCTGATACATGTTTCGTAACCAGAATTTACGTAAAACACGACTCACACAACGAAAATTACTGAAACTAACTCCTAAGGAAGATATTAACGTTTTTATTTCACATTGGTAACGAGGAATTTGAACTGCCCGCTCACAAGAAACTCAAAGCTCTACGTGAGTCAAATCGCGCACTACAATGGTTTCAGCAAGCTTCTCAATCGAGCAATGTTCATTTCCCACCATGTTTTGTTCAAACTATTAGCAATTTGCTACAGCTGAGCCAAAACGTCAAGATCGAGGTTGCCAGATTTTTATATCGCAGAGACTGTCATGATAACGTTTAGCGCGCGATGTGAATCACGTAGAGCATTGAGTTTTCATGAGCGGGTGGTTTGAATTCACGCATCAAGAAAAATTGAATATCTTCGTAAGGTGTTAATTTCGGTAATTTTTATCGTATGCATCGTGTTCTACATGAAATTTTAGTTACAATACATGTATCAGAATGGTGAAATTCGTACCTTGTCCAGTGGTCCATTGTAAGAAAGGGAGTGACACCATGCTGTACCACCAAAAAAATAATCTTTTCGTTCTTAGACTCATGCAGAAGTTCTGAAGACTCCAACTGTAAAAGCTTATAGAACCGTTGGAGGAAGATCCTGAAGAGCCTGACTGGGAATGTGAATCAGCATGTGTTGATCAGGATTTTCTCCTATACTGACTGGAGAGGGTATGGCAGGTGCGTCGCGTGAAATGTCCTTATCTTTATTTAGAAATTATATGGGCTTAAAAATGAATAAAATAGCTCATTATAGATGCTCCTGTTAACATTATTCCTACCGTGGACGGCCAAACTGATCACCCTCTTAATTATCTCGTATCATTTTTGTGTAAAAGATTTTTTTTACATTTCATTTAGATTCGTTTTGTTGACTAAAAATGCGTATAAACTGATACCTCACTTGTCATCTCACGTGATTTTTTTTCTCATAAAAATTCACACTCCTGCCTTTCAAATTTGGCCGACATCTTAGACTTCGGGCACCAATTTTGACCGGGGGGCTTTTTTGACTTCAATAATGAAATGTACGACCAAAATTACATAGGAAACGACATATCACTTGCCTTATCACGTAAAAATTTGAAAAAACGCACCCTCCTGCCTTTAAAATTTGGCCACCATCTTGGATTTGAGGCACCAATTTTGACCGGAGGACTCTTTTGACTTCAGTAATGAAATCTACGACCAAAATTACATAGGGAACGACATATCACTTGCCTTATCGCGTAAAAGTTTAAAAAATGCACCCTCCTGCCTTTCAAATTTGGACGCCATCTTGGATTGGGGGCACCAATTTTGACCGGGGGGGTTGTTTTGACTTCAAATATGAAATCTGCGACCAAAATTACATGGAAAATGATACCTCACATGACAGGATATGCACAAGTGAAAATACCGATATTCCGGAGGCCTTATTATGGGCGCCATTTTGAATTTTAGGCATTTTGAGGGGTGTTCCGGGATTGGACAGTGATAGCATTTTGGGATACTGTTTGAGAGAACCTACTAATGACGTTTACACAAGTTTTGATTACATTTTACATTGTTAACGGCGTTCTCACGATGATCCAACGCGAAAATTCGGCAAAACATAGCGAAATCAGGGCCCCCTGCCCCCTCGGCCCCCATGGCCTCAGAATTTTGGGCTCACTTGCGAAATTGAACCTTCTATAGATAAAGATGATATCCTGAAAGTTTCATGCTTTCTTCCAGAAATGCACGATTCTGGGAACTTTTTCCCCTTATCCGCCCTACTATTATAGGTTCAGCTAAAAACTGGGAAGCCGGCCCTTTCTATATCATTTTGAATCGCGAGAAGGCACAATTATAGGCATTTATCTTTCACCTAATAATAATAACGTAGAACTTGAGAAAGCACTTTTCATTTTAGAAACCAGAATTAAAAGAATAAAGGGATCTTTTTTAATATAAGGAGATTTTAATGGCAGATCACCCGCCTGGGGTGATTTATAATAGATTCCAAGAGGCAGATTGACAGAAAATTGGATTTATGAAAATGAGTTAATAATTCAAAACAACCATGAAAAAGTTATCCCCACCTTTATCAACTCAAGAGGATATTAATCGATTCCAGATCTAATTATCTCAATGCCGATCTTACAGAGAGAGTCAAAATTGAAGTCCTAGATTCTTATGTGCTTTCTGACCACAGAAGCATAATAGTTAATATCACAAATAA